AACAAATTAATTTATACTATATATTTAAGAATACTAAAGAATTATTTAAATATTATACTTGACATTAAATTGTAAATTTTTTAAATGGCACAATCACAATCAAAGAATGATTAAATAATCTTTTTAGTCTAAAAGTGACACAAAGTAAGAAAGCTAATAATTTTTCCAATTGTTTCAAAATATTTCAAGTGATACAAATCGATAGCGAGCACTTATTTCAAATTAGTTTCACATATCATTGAGACACGATAATAGTACCAACGGTGATATCGATGACAACGACGATATGATGACAGTGGAGGTGTTGCTGATAACGACGACAATAATAATTAAATGATACTAATGATAATAATTAATAGCAATAGAGTAAATAATTGGAGCAATAATCATAATAATAATAATAATCGCGACGATAATAATAATAATAATAATAAAAATAATAATAGAGCAATAGCAATAATAGCATTAGGATTAATAATAATAATTCTTATTATTACTATAGTAATAGTGATATTAACGTTTCTTGGTAAAATCAAGGTAAAAATACTAGATAACGAGTTATCTTCTAGGTAGTAATGCGGATCGTACATTTACTACTCGGGCAACAGGAATATAATACTATCAGTTAATTAATATAATTTCTATAATAATAGGGTATTTTTTTCTGTTAGTATTAACGTTACATTATACATATATATGCGTGTATGTATATATGTACAAGGAGATAGAGTTATACATCTGGTTTGCGTCGTGAAGGTAAATAATATGGAGCATATAATCGTACGTGTGCAAATATATATACTCGGTGTGTGCAGAGTCGTGCTGGATGTTAACACGTTTATTAACGAGCACCATAAAAAGAACGGTTCTCTCTTATCTGTTTACATATATATATTCTAATACATATATTTCAATATATATATATATATACATATTATATATATTGAATTATATACATATATAAATTCATATATGTGTACAACCGTAATTAAAATTATATATTAAACCTCTTTAGCACATTTACATTGATTACTTGTTTTCCGTCGCAATATAATAAGATACTAATCGGGGATCCACGGCGGCATTGAATTAGTCGAACACTTTTGGCATTTTTTTAGTCCCACGGTATTCTGGTAAGTTTTGTAAATGAGGACACTCGTCGACATTGTATGAGTGCGTTTTTGTACGTGCGTACGCACGAAAAAGTTTCAAAGTTTCTATCCTTAATCCGCGCTCGATTATCAGAAAAGTCCTTGCTCCTTTGTATCCTTCAAAATTTTCACCTAATCGCGATGATCATTCCTAACAAAATTAACTCCGTTCCATGTGTGACTTTTCATTACTCCGATTCTCAGTCTTCCGTTTAACACTTCGCAACAAACATTTGCTTGCACTCTACTTAACATTCTCTCTGCCTCTCTTTCTCTCTCTCTCTCTCTTTTTTTCTATCTATCTCTTACCCTTTTCTCTGTTCCCAGTCTGTACACTGGCAGTGTGTCTTACAGATCCTTTGGATTTGACTTGGCACAAACAACAGAGTCTTTGTAAAAAAGGCACTATTTTTGTAAAGCGAAATAGTCTTGCTCGAGACACCCTAATTTTGTTTTCCGCGAAACATAGATCTCTATCGAGTGGAAAATATTAGTAAGTAATTGATTCGGCGTATAAGACCATGGATTTTCTTAGAGTGATTTTGATCTATTTGTCGAAATTTAACAGGCGGTGTACTTCTCGAAGCTGAAGTTATGTCGTGTCCTCTTAGAAAAGTTTGGCTATGTGAATATATGAAATTTGAATCTCTTTTCTCTCCTACGTCGAAAAAGAAATAATCTCGTAGTCTACAATTTCATCAGCTTATCACACGTCCTTACATGTACAAATATGTAAACGCAATTTAATTTGGGAATCTTCATATCCTGCTGTTTATTATATTCATATAAAAACATTGTCAGTCTTATAAAGTTTTAGTGCAAAAGCATGTACATTTTTTTTTTTTTGCATATTCCAAAGTCTGAATTGTGCGAATCATTTGCGACGAGAAGGATGAAATATATGCGGTGGATGTCATGTTAAGATGAGAGCAATCGTATGATCAATGAAATGAGAAAGTTTCGCGGAAAAAAATAGTGGCTTCACTATAAATCACGATCAATTTCATACACGTTATATAGCTATCGTAATATCCAACGCCGATCCGGCGAAAAATCGAAAATGCTCCTCGTGCTTTTTACTTTCGTAATATTTCATTATACAAATGAATATACAGTTGTTCTAAAAAAATGTATAGCAGTAGCAACTATGTCCTTTATATAATTTATATTTAAATTTTCACTTTTCCTAACAAATATTAGAATTTTATTTCTCAAGTAATCTGAAACGTATTTTACTTCGACGAAAATTAAACAACAGCCTTATTTTAGTACAATATCTTCATAAATATTTCAACTTATTTATAACGTGTCGATCTAATTTCAATAAAATTTTTAATTGCATTAAAACAATCAATGATGAAAATAAACTGTTTAGAGCAATTACGATTGCCAGTTAATCTCAACGTTGAATTTTCATCGTGGAAATCGTGGAATTGTTTCTAATCTAATCGTCGCTATTGATGTACACCTTTCTGAACAGCTATATAGAAGTTGAGTTGATCGTTAAGTTGCCTTGCAGTTATCTATTCTGGTCCGCATGAAAAGACGATGATACGCCAACGTGCACTTATTAACTCCGTTGGACACACTTGTCTCGATCACTGTCGCGCAATTGCGAGACGAAGCGTCCTGTCTAACTTTGTGGCATCCAGCAGAAAATGAGTCGTGCAATCTACGGTTTCCGAGTGTGAGTATCAATCAGTCCGAGCTCGCTGCTAAAGTTGTAAACGCATACAAATGTCCAGTCGCGCGGGTTATTAACAGTCAGTGGTGTACATTGTATAGTAATTGTATATATATGGATATCAAAATTTTGAAAAGACGTCTACATGATCAAAAAGTGTATTTCCTGCGTACGATAGAGCGGCGTCGAAGGCGGCAAAGGAAGGAGACTTCCGTCTTTTCCACCTTCGATGCGCGTCTGCATTCTTAGAAAGGGGTATCCTTGGAAAATGATCGTTATAACCGCGCCTACAAAAACGGCATTAATCGTGCGTCCGTTCGGCTTTTGTTCACCGTAACTCTATAGTCGGTCGGGAATAGAAATGAGATAAATATCCAATTCGCAGCAATATCGAAAGTGGGTGTAGAACTATATCGTCTATCCTTCGCTCGATCGACGTACGGCTCCGAAACAGCCTCTTCCCCTTCCACTTCTCACCGTTAAAACTCATTTCGTCGCAAATCTAACGTAAAATGTGGTTGCATTTTTGCTTACGTGAAATGTACAGAGCGTCCTGCGAGATAATTCTTCAAGGTTCAACCACCGTTTGACGTTAAATGAGCGATAAAAAAATTACTAAGCCTTTCCCGCACATTCTTTCGTTCCGTCTCTCTCTCTCCTTCGCTCTTTCTCAATTTACTCGCAAAATCTCACTCCGTCTTGGATTCCACTGCGCATTCTTTCGCTCTTTCTTTCATTTGCGTCATCTCTGCCTTAAGAGCTTTCGATTCAGACGTTTAAGGTATAAAAGAAGGAACGATATAAATCAATATACAGACGTTATAAGATTGACACAGCCAAATCTTTGTTTAAACATTTGCTTCATCGTGTTGTTTCTCTCGATACACTGTGTGTGTGACGTTGTTCGCCGTCAGAGCCGGTTTAAGGCTACCGCAATCACCGTAACTACTAGGAAGCTCTGCCTTCGGCTTTTTTCGGACACCAATCCTAGGCGACAGGGCTGTGTGATCGCGAATATGCGTTAAAAGAAAGTTTAGTCGAGTTTCAAGTTTGACGCGAAACAATTTCCATTGATTTCCCTATATTCTCCTCATGATTTTCTACATTTATGGTCAATTGTCTAATATATACAGCGGCTGCGAATCATGCCTCGTAGAGAATCGACGAAGACGTCTTAAACCGGCCCGATTCGTCTCTCTCGATATTACACCGTGACGCTGCCCGCCTTCGTGCTCCCGCGGCTTTTCACTTCCCTTCGCCCCTGGTATTCTCCTTGCACTCACGTGATTAGGAAGCAATGATCCCCGTCATACGAGTCCCCTCTTCCCGCTCCGCTTTCTTTCCGCCTCGTTTACCAAACTCAGTGAACACTTGGTGGATATTGCGTTTATTCGTGTACTGGACGATTCTCCGTGATCGCGACTTGCGGAATCGAAAAATCCTTTGGCGAATGCGTTCTTCCCAACGTTCATTCCTGACTGACTGATTTAGCGTTTATCGTAAAAAGGGTGGATGATGCCAGATTAATGAAAGCGAAAGCGAGCTATCGATCGTGAGAACAATGAGATTGTAAACGACGCACGTTCGTAGCGCGCGCAGAGATATGCATTGATCCTGTTCGTAAGACTTGGTTAAAATCAGAGATTCACCATGTTTGCGGCGATCCTACTTGGCCACTGGAGTCGTCCAGTTCACTGTCCTTACAATATTATTACTCGCTGATTGGCTGACATGCGTTATAATCGCAGATTGATACATTTCCCTCCGCATATATAACCGCAATATATATAATCTAATCTATTTATCTTATATAACAAACACTGGCTTTCTCCGTGACTGTGTAACTCAGGAGAGGAAAGGAGTATAACAACACACTACGATATCAGTGTTATCAACGAAATGGATTCACGCGAATTATATATAATCTTAATGCGATTCCAGCGTAACGTATCGTCCTTTTTTTGTGCATGTACAAAAAATACAGCGCGTCTCGTTCAGTCCGTTACAAATGTACATGCGAGATTAATATAATAATAATAATAATAATAATAATAATAATAATAATAATAATAATAATAATAATAATAATAATAATAATAATAGTAATAATAAAAATTAGAATAATCAGAATAATTACTACGATAATAATAGTAATAATAATTGGAATAATAATACTTAGCATCGTTATTATTACTATCATTATCATTATGTATATGCATGACACAAATGTGTGTCTGTGTGTTTTCTTGTATGTATATAAGATTGAAATATGTGTATTTCATCCTAATATATACATACGTAGTATTCTCTCTCTCTCTCTCTCTCTCTCTCTATGTACAAAATAAAACAATGAAATATTATACCGCTCGTTAATTTTGGATCCCCATTCTCGCAATATGCATCCGAGTAATATCACGGAGATATATATCAGAAACCAACAAATTCTATAATCGACGTAAAAGTCTTTTTTTTTCTTCACCGCCACGCCATTCGTCACGCGGGACCACAGCGCGTGCAAACTTTCCGAAACTGCGCGCCCATCCCGCATCGCGCGGCACGAGAACAGTATTGATATATGTATAACATATATATGTTTCCTCTTCCCTGTCAACTTTAGAATTAGCAGCATAATCTTTCATCTATCTCTTAATTACAGCGTCTCGATAGTAAAGATAGTAAGTAATGATAGTAACAGTAGCAGTACTTCCTACCGGTATCAACGAACATTAACGTAGCAATTGTGGCGGTAATAAAAGTAAAAATAAGACGTGATGGGTCGCTTACAAATACGGTTTAAGAACTTAATCCTACGTCGTCCGCGTGTATGCGTGTATATGTATACGTTAATATATATCTCTATGTATAAAGGTTCATCGCCATCGTACAAATTTTCAGTCGGTTTTCCGCGGCGCGGCGACACCGCGTCGAATTTCTCTACTATTATACCCTTCTTGCCGCAAACAACGAGAAAACAAACCATGTTCCGATGCTCGTTCACGCTATCCACATTCATGCACGCGTGCGCGCGCTGGCACGTTTTCTCTTTCACATCACACGCGTTCCTTATTGTGATGTAGTCTCAACATATATTTATAGTTCTTGCAAAGTCTCTTGGAGTCTCGCATTTTGCGCCGCGTTGCTCGATACACGTTATTGGGAAAAGTAAAAATGCTCGCGCTCGCGCGATAACTACTTCGCACCTCTTTCCCACCTGTTTCCCGAGCCAGATAGAAAAACTTTTATATAGATACACTCGGTGGCTCGATGAGAGAAATTCTCTGGGAGACGAAACGTCGAAATGTACGGCCGTTATTTTCCCGATAAGAGCGAGACACGCGACGACGACAGCGACAATTGTTATTATTCTATAGTAACAAAACTGAAGATTCGCGAAAATCGTGTGGAGAATTTGCGTGCTACTTGCGTGGCTCCCGACACGCTCATTTTGGTACACGGTAATAACGCAGGACGAGATAGCCCAGGGTCCGGAAAACGATCAGGAACGCCAGGAGCACGGCCGTATTCGCCCACAATGGTAGACCGGAGCCCCTCGACCCTTGGCTCTCCAGAATTGCGGAGACGGGTATCGTCGTGCTGTTTCTGCACTCGGCGAATTTACTCGGCTGCGAGCATCTGCCGTACAGAACATTACGCGCTCGATCAGCATTGCTTCAGGCGAATTTCATTCAAACGTCTTTAATCTAATTTGATAATAGCGGAATAATTCCGTTGATCCACAATTCAACATTAATTGTGCTTTGTACTTTAATTATTTTTTCTTCAAAAAGACAAAATTTTTCTGTGTCAGTAAATTATTTATAATTTTATGCATTTCGCTCAATCACGAATTTCTCAGCAACTATGACTCGTTTATACGATGTAAAACTTTGACCAAAATCGCGATACAATCGATTGATAAGGAAAGAAAAATATAGGCTTACGTGATCGGTTGGCCGACGCCGAATTCCAGAATCTGCATATTCTGATAGGCATAGTGCACCATACTGGCGTATCTAGCCCACGCCAGCCATGGTGGGACCGACGTCGCCAGATAACCACCCAAAAGCTGCGTCGCGAGTGTGTAGAGCGCGGACGCGGTGATGCTCACCTGCAGATCCAGGCAGCAAGCGCCCACGAAGAAGCCGACACTCTGTAAAGTAAATCGTGAGTTGAGCAACTGGGCGCAATAAAGTCGACTTACGACGAATATCAAACGGTCGAATAACCACCAGCCGCCTCTCTTGATCGCGATAGCACTCCAAGAGCGCCGTACATCTTCGCCTACTCTAGCGCGAGTTCCTAATCTCAGCGGCTCGAAAGCAGTGCTCTTACACTTAATACTTTCCAACGGCACAAAAATAATAATCAAACGCGATTATCGTTATACGCCCATATCATGCAAAATGATTCTTCGAATAAAACGTCTATCGGGTATCCCGCTACGGAGAGCAGATACTGCTTCCAACCGTTATTACATCTTACAGCGTTAAGCACCGGCTTCTGTAATGGAGCGGACAAACACGTACCTGCGCGACCACGGTGTTGAGCAGCAAGAACGCGAGCAGCGTGACGAAGACCGCCAGATTGTGGAAGCCCAACATCGGGTAACTAATTATATGGTAGACTGCGGGCAGCGTTATCGTCAGCGGCAGTTCGCCGACCATCTTCGCCAGGTAGTAGGCCGAGAGCCGATAGGATCCTGACAGGCGCTCCTTGTTGATCACCTCGCGTTCCGGGGGAACTGGAAAGCGTCATCGTCGCCGCGCGTTATTTTCAGAATTATCCCTACGTCGTTGTCCGCGGAATGGACGCGCATCGCCGTGGCGGCGCGCGCTTATGGCAGGCCGGAGGTGATGCTAAAATCGGTTTTACAGCTCGTCAGGAGCGCTATGCGCTTCCCTCTCGCTTTTAGCGTTTCGCTTCGGATTGTCAAGGATAAAAGATTGTAGAACGACTCGTAAAGGCACAAATTTGACTCTGAGTATTCGTAAATCACGCGACCACACACGATAATCAACAATATGTCTCCCACTTAATATCTCAATCTGTTTATTGAGTCGAATGTTAATTTTAACAATAAATTTTACACACCCTACAATTTATATTGCATTTTAGTGTAAAAAATTTTTATTAATTTGCAACATTTTAACTTTTATCATTTAGTTGTCGCTTGATTTTCTTCTTTCGTTCTTTCAAGATTAAATTATATTTCTAAAAGCTCATAATTTTACTTTGTGATATTTTAATCAAATCGGTTCAATGTGCTTGCACGGAATTTGTCTTTTTCTGCCTGCATATTAGAGGCGCTAGTTTAAAGACCTCTATTATCGGGTAAATACGTATTCTCAATTAAATGTTCTCTGGTCCTTCACACATCTTTGTAATAAAAAAATGAACCTTACTAAATGGTCGATTGAGCATGCTACGTTGAGGCTCAATTAGCCAATCAACTTTATCTGCTTCTGCATGCTTGTGCAATGCTACGAGTACCTAAGAACCTTTCACGAGGCTTCGCATAAATCGTGCAAAATTGAACATTTGCATTTCCATAAATTATCCGCGGTGTCATAAATATAAAACTTTCGATAGTATCAAATCAATTAATTCTATAAATATCAGAATGGATTATATTTCTCGCAACTTTTTAATTCTTAACGTAAAAGAATCTTGGTGAACCTTAAAATTAAATGTCATTTATAATAAGATTGAAATTAATTTAAAAACTTCAAGAAAATAAATTCTGTTATTAGTCGGCAAACGAGTTTTTTTTGTCCTGCATTCTTCGAGTTTAACTTGTAAATAAACGGTTTAATTTTCGATTCGAAAAATCTGCATAATTATTTTTTTTTTTTTCTTAAAGTCGTAAAATCTGCCGCTGAAATATATTTCGTCTGTTTGCCGCGATTTTGTACTGTAATTTTTGTTTGTCGGAATGACACATTGGTTATAGTCGAGATAATCAATCTAGTTTCGCCACAATGGACGTTTCGTCCTTTGTGCCGGCATTCCGGTTACAATTAAATTCAACTCACAGCTAGAAAGTGCTCCGAAATGTGCAAAAAGCATCCAGTACGTGGTGCTGAAGAACATCCACCCTTGGATATCGTGAAGGGCTGCTTCAGTTCTGGGAAGCCCCAGCCATAAAAGCCCGACCAGCAGACCAAGAGCTACCGTCTGTAGCCAGTTCAAACGCGACAACATCCGCGGTCGTGCCTCTTGAAAATTTCTCTCTGATAATACCTGAAATTAAAAAAAAACAAACATTAAACGGACGTGGATTTTCACAGAGTCAACTTGCAGCTTACAGCGATTTAATTAACAAAACATACAGAGGCAAAAATTATGCATCTACGTGTATATTTCGCTTGCAAAAACCACCAGGATAATTTTGTATAATTATTATAAGTGTGGACTTTGTGGCGCAATATACATAAAACTTTGTAAATTCTCACATAACATGCAAACAATAACGCTCGTAAAAGTTTTTAACAAAAGTGCAGAATAATGTTTAAAATCTGAAGTACATAACATTGTAAAACGTAAAGGTTTAGCGAAAAGTTAGGGAAAAATTGTTGCCAGCGCTTTTCCCGCAAGTTCATACGTATTTTCTGGTTACTTGGATACAATCTTCGCGATGCACCGACGTTAATGCACAGCCGTGTCAGGTTAATACCTTCGAAACGCCTCGATTATATCAGCGTCCGTGAGAAAATAGAACGCAATGTTTCACAATGCTCGGTTTCGAAGGCCTTTTTAAACAATAACTACATACAGAGCGTCTCGGGTATCGCGTGAAAGGCCATTTTTCGGGTCAGCCTTACTCGCCCCGATTCGGCGTGACAGCCCGATCGAATGAACAAATGGAACGGTAATTTATGCCCCGTGTCTCCTAGTTCGGTAAATATCGTTGATGGAATATTAAACCTTGAACGTTCTCGACTGCACAAGGTGGTGGTGCGCGCTACTGTAGGCCGCGAAGAACGCGTGGTTCCGCCAGGTAAAAGTGATGCAAGTTGACGCCGCGCGTATTCGTACGTAAAGCACGCGATTACGAACGACCGCATACCGGTCGCGCGGTAATTATCCGGATATGGTGAATCGTGCAAACGCGACCCAGTTCTCTCCTCTCTATACTCGGGCCGGTCTTCTTTCTCGCGACACATTATGCGCGCATTCAATTTTTTCTTTTTTTTCCCCTCTTTCTCTCCACCTCCCTCGTGCCGACTCTCGGCGACGCCGCGATCCACCTACGACGCGATCGATGACGCGTCCCCCGCGACTGGGAATAAGCAATCCAATGCACATTAGTCTAGTTGCATTCGTTAATCGGCGTGAACGACGTAGGAGATGCCGATTCTATTCTATCTCGCGGTATGCATTGTGTCAGATCTCCGAGATGGCTTTTCAATACTGTCTGTTAATGAGAGTTTGTTTATATAGACGTCCATTATTGCGTGATCATGCGCTTATTGCTTCTCACTGTCTTTGTACAAACGCGGAATAGCATGTCAACCGCCGTGCTCCGTTACGGGTAAAGAACACTTAAGCCAGTGGAATGGCATTGTAACCGGTAATTGCTGAAAACATTCGCGAGGCGTACTCACTTTGAACTGCGACCAAAAGCTGGTGGGCCACTGCCAGGAATAGTCGTCATCTGCAGAACTCGCGCTGCTGCTGGCGTGGCTTTGTGTGTCCAACCATAGCGTACGGCCTTCATCTTCTTTTACTGTAAAGCATTAGAGAAATGGATGCTTAGAGTAGAATTGCTTTGTTGAATCAATAAACATATGAATGGGCAGAGATATAGTTCAAAGGAGAAGAATTCGAATAATTATATCTCTCACAGCTTACCTAAAATATCTATTTGTTTTCGAATTAAAAATATCAAAAATTTTAATATTAAAAATTTTAAAAAGTCTTTTAATATTATTCATTTAAAACTTTCAGATTACGAAATTGACCGTTGTTTTTTTTTTTCGAGGTCTGACTTCGTTTATTATTCGGTAACTTTAAGAGGAAATGCGATATAATTCTGAATTATCTCCGTGCATTAATATGTATTTATCCCACCAAGAACGAGAAGATAAATAACTTCCGGGGATTGCGGTGCGCTATATACGAGCGCTTCTCGTTATGCGCTGCGCGAGTTAAAGGCTCTAAACATCCAGCCAACAGGTTCGAGCTGTCTGTCTTAACAATTCATAAAGCGGCCCTTCCAGCGCTTGCCGTAGGTTGGACGCGAGATATTCGATCTTCGCAAGTGCGCGCTTTAAATGGGTACATCGGAACCGCAATGGTCCGCTTGCGGTCGGGGGAAGGTCTAGGTGTGCATACATATAAATACGTATATCGTGGGGCGGCTGCATACTATATAATACCGTTGTGGCTGATGTGGTGCTCGTGATAATGGATGAGATGGTCGCAGAGCGGATGTTGGCTGGGATTATACTCCGGACGAAGTTCCGGTGGGCAGTCAGGTCCCTGTCTTGCAGCTCTCGCCGCGGCAATGATGCGCTCTCGAACCTCCTCCGGCCCCTTTATTTGTTCCACTGAAACAAGCATTTCGTACAACGCTGAGATCTCCTTTCAGTGATTCTGACAATTTATGGAATTATCTCCGTTCTCTGCGGTAATCCATACATCAGAGTATGAAATTATTATTTTAAAAAGACAAATAAGCATGTTATTGTATTCCTTTTTGTGTGTTCGTATTTATGCACGCGCAACGGAAATCATTTATTTCGAAAATAATATAAGTCGTATTTTAGGAATATTGTAAACATTTTATTTTACACTTTTTTTCTTTATTAGCCGAACGTGACGTCTACTTGCGTCACTTAAAAAATACATTAGCGTAAATATTAAATATAAAAATTGATTCTGTAACTATTAGTTATTATAATAATTGAATTATTTATGCTTCTACAATAAATTTCAATTAAGATTTAAAAGAACACTCGTCTTTTTAA